ACACTGTTCACAACGGTCACACACAACACCATTATGGATAGTCTGGTTTTTAACTGAAAAAAAAAAATATGAATATGATGTCCATTCTGAATAAATATGTTGATGGCAGATTAGAGTTACTTTTGATATATAGACATTGGATTATGGCTCCTAGTGAACATGCCTCTTACTACTGTTGCGCAACAACAAATCGGTCCATGAAATAAACCAACCAATGAGACAAGATACTGGTATAATTGTATATATTTTCAATGCTCTGCAGATATGTAGCTTCTGTGATCAACCGATAACAGCCATCACTCACCCTACACAATAAAGTATGACATTATTCAAATATTTATTGTGACTGTACCTTCTGATTCTGTCACAGTAGAGGCATCAACAGTATTTGGAATCTCTTTGCTGGCCTTCTTGAGATTAAAAATATCAAAAGATAATAATTATTTATTTTTCTGTATAATTTATTATAATATTATGTTTATTAATATCTTATGTTTATTAACAAACTAACCAGTGTTGAGCAATATTTAAATACAAAAACGTAATTGCAGAATTTTGATTTTAAACGGTCAAAAAACAAGCTAGAGGTCCATAACTTGTCCATAACTCTAATAATGTTTCTGCTGTCTCAGTGCATTCAAATTTTGAAAGTAAGCAGTTTTTTACTTGACAGTGTAAGCTGTGGGTCTCAAGCACCAATTGAGTTGAATTGCAATTCTGTGATATCATGCATTGCAAATAATTCATTAGAATAATGTTGTTGAAAATTTAATTGAATGCAATTATGTGAAACCTTATCAAGTATATATAGTTTTATGATATACATACATGTACATCTGTACCAAATTCACCAATGATGCCAGAATTATAAGTTTTGGGCATAAACTCGATAACCGCCTCAACTTCAATGGCTTCTGGTTCTTGGTTGATCAGTTGCTCCAAATGGTTAGTGGTCTCTTTCATGGTTCTCAGCAGTTGTACATCATTCCCATGGTGCATTAGCGTTTCAACATAGCTGTGTGCATTAAAAAGTCTGCTTTTGATGGACTCCAACTCTTCAATGTTCATATCATTATTTTTTATTCTAATGTCATGTTGTTTCTTTGATTTCTCTATCATGACCTTTTCTTCCATCGTGATTTGCTCGATCAGCTCCTTGGCTTGTGATGAAATATTCTTCTCCTCCTTTTTAGCATGAAGATTTAGTTCATCACGTTTTACGCACAGTTTTATTATTTTATCTTCTAACTGCTCCCTGGCCCTTTTCATATCAGTTACCATATTCTCCAAGCATTTGCGTTGTTCATTCCCAACTTCCTTTAAATCTCTCAAGACGTGTTCGGTTCCACGGTGTTTTATGACTGCGCAGTCAGAGCAGATGACCTCCTGACAAGTCTCACATTGGAATTTCAACTCGCTTCTAACGTGGTATTGACAGTGAATCATGACTTCTGGCTTACACAGATTTGTTGATTTATTTTTCTTGTAATCTTCAATAGTCACCACTTGATGGCACCGACTTACAGCCATTTTACCATGTACCTTTAAACAGTCTGCACAGAAGTGCTGTGAACAGTCCAAACAGTGATGAAAAGCTGTTTTGTCCTCACAGCTTTCACACTGCAAAGGAGTTTCACCTGAAGTTAAACTTTGTTTGCTGAACTCTTCAACTAAATTACTTAAAAAGAAGTTATCCTTCAGTTGGTCTGACTCGCACTCTGCGTTACAGGTTGGACACCTATTCAGCGACCCTCCCCTTTTCTCAGCCAAGGTAACCAGACACACACTGCAGAATGTGTGAAGACATGGAAGGATTTGAGGTTTTTTGTATCTTTCAAAGCAGATGGAACAGGTTAGGAAGTCTTCATCAATGATGTCCATCGCTTTATTGCCAGGAGTTGCTATGGTGATCAGCTACTAGAGAGAATATGAATGTTATTGCAAGTGTTCCTAAAAATTAAACCTATTTGAGGGGATAAGTGTGTATGGTTCTGAAGATTTAAAAATTGTAAAAAAATTTTTTTGTTTAATATTAATTATAATGCAAAGGTCATGTGACATGATTTGATAATCATATTAGTATTACAGTAAATACATGTATGCTAATGATGATACAAAAAAATTACTGCTTAAAATTTCATCTGCTGATGCTTAATTTTAACTGGTATATGTCTATTGATGCTTTCAGCAGGTTAGGAGTTAAATCTTTGGAAGTATATGTTGAAAACTACTATTTCTATTCAAAACCGAATATGGTAACATGTGTTTATTGGCAATGGGAGGCACTTGCCATGTTTGTACATAGTACATTTTTTTTATGTACAAAGTCCGGTACCCTTTAAAATTTAATATATTCACCCCAATGTATAGCCCTTCCCCACCACGAGCTAATGCTAGATACACTCTAAAATGTATTGGTTTGCCCCAAGTGGCACTGTAAAACCTCTATAGATTACCGGTATATGTAAATAATAGTGTTGTACGTGAACAGATTCCCCATTAAGTGCAATGGTCGTGCCCTTAAACTTTGGTCACAGCTTACTTATCTGATTTGGTGAGCATAGTTTGCTCAACCCTATTGGTCGATTTTGACTTTGATGCGCGTCTGCATATGACACTTACCTCTTTAATGGCGGACTGGAACAAGTCTTGCCCTTTTTGGATGACCTTTAGTCAGCTGACCTCATCGTCACGTGATGTTTGTTGACATATAATCCGATATAATTGTCAATGATTACTTCGAAGCTAACTTGTACCACGACTGTCTTGAAGCGACTAATGAGTGTTAAAAAAATAGTTAAATCATAGTTTAATACGTGATGGATACTGCATTTTAACCGTGACTTTGCACCATGGTTGTCGCAAATCGGGAAAATTTTCCGATATGAATGCCCAAAAGTATTCTATTTGAAATCCTGGAGGTGGGCATGACCGTTTTGCGAAAAAACAATTTTTAGGTCACATAATGATGATTGATGTACGAAATTTACATAGAGTATTTAGCGTTTGAAATCTTCTATGCGATTTAGGATGTACTAGTAACCGTGGTGTAACTGACTGTATGTCGGAGACATTTTCGCATTTTGAAACGCCAAATTACTGTGATTTTTTTTTGCACCAGTCTCAACCATTGTGATGATATATGTTATTATGTTATAAATATCGCAAAGAATTAGATCAACTTAAAATAACATTGCCCTATTATAATATTGGTTTTACAAAAGAAGTTATAATGTCTTTCATCTTGCGCAGATTCAACATTTCTTGGTATTTTTGGAAATGTTGATGTTATTCAATAAATTTGTAAAACTGTAAGTTCGCAGTTTATATTATTTGATTTGTGGTTTTATAATTTCTGCCAGTGACATTACAAATGACAATTCGTGAAATTTATTGAAATAAAATAAAGTAAGTACTATGTAGATCAAAAACATAGTAAAAAATAAAACCAACGAAAATCGCTACCAGTCGAGTAAATTTCATTGAAATCTAAACATACCTGAAGACAACATGCAACCCATAATGCCTTGCTATTGTTCCAAATTTAAAGCGGAGGGGTCGTCACCTGCGCGCGCGAGAGAGAATTGAGTCCCAAGCGACGATAATAACACACGCTAAAAACGCAAACGCTCATGGGTAGACGCGTTTTTGTAAACAACGACACGCTATGGCAGACTGTCGCATGCACAGGTGATGATACCCCCGCTTTAAACAAAATCTGTAAATGTGTAATCGAAACGGGTAAAATAAACGAAAGTCATGAAACAAAATGACGTACATCAGTAACTCACCATGAGTGATGTCAATGACAAGTCTGAATCAATGACAAGTCCAAATGTTGATTTTTGCTGTTGGGGGGGGGGGGGGCACGATGCCCGCCAGTCGGTCAAACGTCAACAAACTTTAAAAAAAGAGACCTTCACATGCGTCCCATTACGACATGTCTTTGTACTAACTTTGAACCAGGACATACAGTACATGCCTGTCCGAGAAATGACGATGAACGAACGAAGCCCAAAACATAATTGTTTTAGTGCCACAGACCATATTTACGGCAGATTGTGATTGGTGGAGGTGTGTTGCCCTCCAGTGGTGAAGCGCTTCGCTGACGTAAGGGTGTAAGAAACGCCACTCACCTCGTCCATATGTTGGCGAGTGTAACAGTGTAACAGTGACTGGCTTTATCTCAGACCATAGTACAAACTGTTTAGACTAAGGTATTATAAGACTCCAGTTCTAATTTCCAATACAATTTGAAATGTTACAGTCACTTCGTAACAAAATCACATCATCCCAAGTCCCTTCGTACCACACGGTTACTTTGTACCACACGGTCACTTCACGTACTGTAACAGTTTCTTCGCACCACACATTTCCTTCGTACGGGTCTAGCTGATTACTATAAATAGCGATTAAATAAAGCTGCCTATAGTGGCACGAGTTACCTATTCGCTGCCCGGAAGTATGTTTTTAATAACATAATATCTAATAATATATAAATTTGCCTAGCAACCGGTTGCTAGTCACGTGATACACGTCAAACTTTGATTCAAAATGGCGCTAAATCTTGAGCCTGAGTGTGCTGGGTTTGTGCGTTAAATTTCCGATTGATTTCTTGTATCTGTTTCACGTTTTCGACTATAGCTGACTTCGATAGAATGCCGGTGCCACAGCTCAAAGACTTTCTCCGTAAATTTGGCGTTTCGTCGTCCAACTATAACAAGAATATTCCTCTTGCAATTGTTAAAGCTGTGTATCATTTGGAACTCGAGGAAGATTTGTTCCGCCACGACCCCTAAATACGACGTCGCTACAAGACTTACAGTACTTGGTTGTAATTTCTTGGTATTCGTAACCATACATCTCGCATCACAATGCAAAATAACCAATGCTATTATGAATTGACCATTGTGTATATTTCTTCCATACAACATGTTATTTACTTATAATAAATACCTTCCTTGTTGAAATATTAACTGTAGTGCACATGCAGTACGAAGTGATTTTATATAAAATGAACCCGCGGTGTGGTACTAAGTGACTGCGAATTGACCTTGTGTGCGCAGTGACCTAGTAGGCCAAAGTGGTTTGTTTCGAAGTGTCGTTGCTCCTGTAAAATATGAAAGGAATAAAGTTACATGTAATACATGTTACATGATAATTATTATAGTTACATGTATAATAAATTACTAAGAATGTCTTACTTACAAACTAATTATTATCCCCTATCACTGCCTCAAATATGTGTGTAACAAAATAGAAATAGAAATAAATTTAAGGCCCATCTTGGTGACGTAATTGCAATGGCGCGCTAAACCTCACGACTTGCAGAAGCTGTAGAAGAACCATTGCTATTGATTGAATGTATGTTGTAATAAGATGAAAAATGTCGGTTTGACTTGGTATTAAAAATAGGTGTTGCTACTAAATTATAATAAACAAATCTAATTTTTCGAATATTATTATATAAAAAAAAATAATTACACTTGGTTGGGGGGACAAGGGGGGTAGCTGGTACAGACTTACGATAAATAAAAAGGGCTTTTTTCACAATTTACAAGGAAAAAAGACGTTTTTACAGTTTACAGGGAAAATTGAATTTTGCAGTGAATTGTGTCATCTAGTGGTTTTACAGTTTCGAAAATGTAATTTTCCTGGATTATTCTTTACGACTTTTTTTATTTGGATGTAAATTCTTGTACGTACCGAGAAAAATTACGAAAAAAATATTTGATTGATTACGTTGTACGTCTAGCCTGTGATTACAGAATTACGGAATTTATTTTTGTTCAATTTGCGTTGTACGAACAAAAAATATTTCAATTACGTTGAACGAAAATAACCCTTGCCCCCCCCCGGTTTACTCCTTATTGGCTTGTAACCTGGAGTTGCTCCAGGATTTGCTGTTTAGCTTCACGGCACGTCGACTTTTCAAGACGGCAGTTAATATGTGGTTTTGCTTCTTCAGCGTGGCTCCATAGAAAAAAACTCTGATAGAACCTGCAAATCTGATTAAACGTTACAAGGAATTAATATGTGATTTTCCGTCTTCAGTGTCCCCGCATCAGTTGCACAGAATTCAATAGTTGTTTGTTGTTTCTTCTTTATAAAACTTTATAAAACAAACCTGAAAACAATCATATCGATTATTAAAATATACTCAACTTCTAGGTCATTGAATAATTACACGAAATGAAATATAAGATCAAATTTATGGTGTACTGACCGACTCAAGAGGCGTTCTCAATCATGGAGGAATCGATACACAGCCCAAATTTCTATCTCGTTATACACATATTCAAGGTAGCGATAAGAAATAATATATTTATTTCCATTCTTAACATTACAAAATATATACAAACTATAAATATTTAAAATACAAAACTGCACAAACTACAAAACACAGATAAACAAAAAACAAAATAACAATTGATAGTTCTGGTACCTATCGGCTAGAGTAATTCAATAGTTACAATAAGGGCTACAGGATTCCAGGAAGTCTCTATTTTCTGTATCTTGGTGAGTGAACTTTCGTTGTCACAATTTGTGACAGAGCGACCAAGCGTAGAAAGGCCGATAGAGGACGCCCTTAATTAGGTTAACACTATTGGTTCACTGGCCTTTGAAATACTTTCTCACTGGATCATAATAGAGGCCGTTTCGACGCGTACTTGCGCGACCATATCTTCGTAACAACGTCAAATTATTCGGATTCAAGCAACATCCATACTGTATGTGTATGTATTGTATATTGGTACCACATTCACTACAAGCAGGCGCCGACGAGGGTGAAAGCGTCACAGTGACAACGTAAATCGGGTAAGCACGCTCGCATGCCACTATAGTTCACATGTAGCTTATTCAATGCCATGTCTTAAATGAAAGTAAATACTGGACGACATGTGCTTAAAACTTTTATTTCTACTATAATTTTATCCTATCAATTAAACACACGACGTGTCATGTCCAAGCAAGTATTGGGGAGAAAGGTTGGACGGTATGTAATATCTAAAACAAGCACGTCACCGACCGACCTGAACACTCCTTGACGGTTTCTTTTTTACGTTGAAGATATGTGTATTTACGAGTATTAAGCCTGACACATGGGCGGGGCGTTTCTCGAACACACAGGCTGTTGTTATATCATTGTCGTCAGTCACAGTTCTCAACGAACGACGCTTGGCTGAGGGAGAAATGTGAATAGCACTTTTAAAGAGCATTAAATGAAGTAGTGTTGAGTCATCTGGACATGTTTGTCCTTTCATATACTAGTAGTGTTGACCTTGTGAATGCCGTATGGTAATACAATAGACTAACGCCCAACTCAGTTGTCAGGGTCCATAACAACGACATAACATATGTAACACACAGTTGAGACAATGCTGTCAGGCACACGCTGTATACGGATCGATACGAATTCTGTATTACGCCCAGTTGTGCCACTACGCTGCCCTTGCTATGCAGTACGCCAGGAGCTTTAATGCACCGATGATACGGCGTATGCATGGAATCTTCAAGTTATTCAGAAACTTTGTGATTTGAAATTACTTCTCTCAAACTGGGTAATTATATTGGATAGTAAATACCGATTAAAATTTAGAATTCATGGTAAAAGCAATTCTTACGGTTATCAGGTCGATAGATTGTTTTATATTTTGCGTGTTGTGCCAGCTTTGATTTACCGTAGTCAGTAACCACCACAATATAGCAACTGGGGGCTGACAATGTACATGATGTCTGATCAAAAACGAAATTTACTTTGCGGTGTATTCCGTAATAAATGATTATGTCAATACAAACCGTGATACGATTTGTCCCGGAGTATAGAATTACAGTAAAGAGAAATTATATGCTAGTATAGAACGTTTTACTGACACACCAGGCTGGTCAACATGTCTATATTTTATTTTTCAACAACAAAATAATATAAGTGAACCCATTATAACACCCGCCCAATTTCCGTAGCTAAACGGAAAATGACTGAAATGAAAACATGTCACTCGCTGAGTTACTACTCATGTCATGTTTTTTTTTCACAAGTTCACAGTGTAACTAATTATACGGTGGAATGTAACTGGGATAATGGTATATTGCAAAGGAGAAATCAAGTTTATTACGCGATCAGAGCGGAACAGGGAACCCGCCAAGGCAAGTGATACTTATATTTATAATGTGCAACCATGTGTTGAATTTCCACCACTAAAAGTATCTGAGTTGACCAATCAATGCACGTCATGGCGTATCGGATGTAACTGCATGGGACGTACTAAGGTCTCTCCGGATCAGGGAATTTCACTCAGTTATTATTCAAATTGGCCCGTTTGTTATGAACGGGTTAGTCACCAAACCCAACTTCATTTTAAACATGATATTTTTTTCAGTGTAATCTTTCCGTTCAATTTAAAAAAACAAACAAACAAACTACATGTTTGTTGTTTTCCTTTTTCCTTTCCCGGGAATGAGTACGAGTTATTACTATGACCAGTTTATGACATACATGTATTATAGTATTTATGTCTTGTTATTCTCTTTACCTTACTAAATCCTCTGATGATTTAGTTGTGTAATAAAGTTTGTATAATGGTTTTACTCGCACTTATAGTTTGTCCTGGTAACGGGTGAGAATGATCCCCGTCGTGCCGCAGAGAAAGTTTTGCGGATCATGCTGGATGAATGGAAAATACCCAAACCGGAACTAGTGATAGCTGTCGCTGGTGGCTCACGTCGGTTTCGAGTTAGCGACGAACATCGTCAAATATTCATCGACGGATTGAACAGAGTAGGTATCACGTAACACAGCAGTGGTATGCTATGTGTAATATTTCTACTCGTTATATTAAAACAATCAAAAGGCGGTCGATTTAAAAAAAAATGATTTACCTCAGAATAATCCTACATATATTTAAAGCCAATAAAAAAATCATCGGTTTCCGTGACACTGGTCGGGGTTAAGTCACTAGTTCCCATACTGCAACTGCAACTGCATATGAATTTCACTCGCCCCCGACCACGCAATCATGAATAGCTGAACTGTGTGTTTCGTTTTTCAATTCGTTTATTTCTCAGCCACATAACCTTACAAAGTAAACACATATGGGGTAAACATTTGCGTTATATTAATAATAAATTTACTAGCATTGCTCTATTTACAGTAGCAACTGACCAAGAGCGCATGACATAAATTATAACTGCAAAAAAAATAATTACAAATCATATGCTTTACATATGCTTTGCAAATACATTTTCAAATGAACTTTGAACTCATTAATATTGGACCATTTGTTACATGGTTTGTCAGGGCCGTATCGCCACATGTTTTTAAACGTAACATTAGATTCACAAGTAAAGAGTATGACGATTATCGCACAGTGCACAGAAGTGATACCCGTGCATGAAACATTTCGGTAATACAATTGGAGGACTGGCCGTAGAGGGCTTTGTAAACTACAAACATGTTTTATATACAATTTATAATAAATCAACTTTCTATGACAAGGCATATTACTATAAGTGTACGTATGTGGTGCCAGATATGTATCTTCAGCTCAGTATTACGTGCAATATATCATTTTAGATAATTCTTAAAAAAAAACGCGGCAGCAATATACTTACTGTTGGTACAATGTAATTGTCAAATACCACTGGTATATCGTACTTGAAATGTAAACAGTGATTATGACAATGAACTTGACCCTTTAACAGTATGACCATATTCTGAGATAGACAGTGAGATTGGCGAATTTTGTTTTATTCGTAAAAAAATCCTATTCAGAAAATTTGAGCTATACTTGTAACTGTAAAGTTCTCTCGTTTAATTGTTTTTTTGTTTTGTTTTCGGTGTTCATTTTGGGTATGTTTTAAGTCGTGAAACAAGACATTTATGTAACACAAACTATGATAATCATTAAAATGCGTGTTTACACAGAAGTCATAGTGTCACGTGACCTCTGCCGCAAGAAAGGAACGATCAATGCCGTATTCTTGTCATTGTGCTCAAACAATATTGTAGAAATCGACTTGACAATACATTTTAAGTTTTCACCTGAGATGGCACTCGGTACAATGACGAGATTCAAGTATATACCGGTGAAGTACAAATGTAATATACTCAGCCTATTCAATTCACCAATTTTGCAAGTCGGTGAAAGTTTGCTCAAGTTTGACCTCCCCAGTTGAGTCAAGTAATGCTGACTGATTTGTGTGTTCGGTTGTTTATTATGGCCCACCTAACTTAGTCTAAATATTACTGTTTTGTTATACCTCTATAGCTGACTCAAGCCACTTGTGAGAGTTGGTTATTGACGGCAGGGACCGATATGGGCGTGGTCAATGTGGTCGGCGATGCTATGAAACGTGTCAGTGTCAAGGCACGCCATAAAGTACACTGTATAGGAATTGCGTCATGGCACGAAGTCGACGGCAGAGAAAACATTATTGACACTGAGACAGAGGTATGTAAACATGGGAATAGTCTTTAGAAAGGGGTATGATGGAACAATATCAGACTTGCTTACAGTCTCATATTTATTATTTTTTGTTTGTTTTATTTTTAATAAAATAAAATATAAATCGCCATCTACAAACTCCCATGATATTTTATTACTGAAATAAAAAACACTAACAAATGAACAAGATAATGTGTGCAAGTCTATGAATGCCTCTACATTATAGTCAGCAATACTTCATTTTTCATATTTTTCTGTTTGTTTTTTTTAAGCGGGGGGGGGGCACCTGCGCATGTGGCAAACGGCCATAGCATGTCGTTGTTTACAAACAAGCGTCTACCCATGAGCCTTTGCGTTTTTAGCGTGCGTTGTTATCCTCGCTTAGGACTTAATTCCCGCGCGTGCGCAGATGATGACCCCTCCGCTTTAAAGCTACTTATTATTATTCGAGTATATACCATAGATAGTATAATAACGGTTTATCTGATACAGCATGATGCTATACACATCTATAACTTATATAGTGATTACATAAAACCAAGTACAAGAAACATGAACACAAGTTGACACGGAATCAGTCCCGTGTCTCTGTGCTGCTGTGGCGGACAACGGGCGCCCGACAAGCCGCTTGTGACAAGGAAGTATGTGTCTCGCCACGTTTCAGACAAACACCGTTGAGGGCGGCTGACACAAACTGCAATACATGACAACCATTGAGACGAGGCGAGAAAAAGACTGGAAATCAAGCCGAGCACAAAAACTACTTAACATATTAAACACTAAATGTAGAAATATAGAAAACGGTTTGCGATGTCTCGAATTTGAATCTTAGCAAGCGTTTGAACATTTTTAAAGAAAACTTTTAGAAACAAAACAAAACGTACAGTACTGAATGTTTCGAATGAGCATGGTAAATGTCGTACTTCATTTCATCTCAACGTTTTATAGGAACGGAGATTGTCGATGTCTGCCAAGGGTGGTAACGATATATCCGACGACGAAGCGACGGAAACTACATTGCTGGCCACACCGGGGTCGTCACCGGCACGGCGGGAGAGTAGACCATTCAAGAAAGAGAGTGCGGCACTTGCACAATCACAATTATTATTATCTAAGGTGAGATAACGTGGAAATAAGAATTAAAGTGGAGTATATATCAACACTGATATAACGGTGGAAGTTTGTCACTTTCATGTGGATGTCCGAGGATTTGTCGCTCACATGGGCAATATACTAGTACCTTCCACATTCCGAAACTTGAAGCAATGTTGTTTTACACGATTAACATGAAACAGTCTTGATATGTGATTCGATGACAAAACACAACATTACAACATTAATTCTGTGTGAGTTGGTATAAATTATGTGATATGATATCAATAACGCACACTCGCCGTTTTCATGTAAATCTTATTGTTATTGCATCCCCCACACCATACCAAAGAAAGTTGTAAGGTTGGGTATAGTAGATAAGTTCTTTGACACCGTATACTCCTTTATATTGGTTGTTGACACAATTGTCAACCCGCATCACGCAATTGTTTACTATGAAATTAAAACCAATAACCCTCCTACAACGTAATACACGGCGTTAACAGGGCTCTAATTAAAATATATTCTAATTTCAGACTTTTTACTCGTCGACTTATACTGTGCTGCCAATAAAGAGCAGTGGACCCATACCCATCAACCCTTTTCACACACACTTCGTGTTCGTCAGTAGAAAAGACAAAGACGACGAGGAACGGTTTCGTGTGAAACTGAGAGTCGAACTGCAAAAACTCCTGACAACAGGTGAGTTAAGGGGTACTACATAGCATTTATTGTTCAGGGTAAAACAAATATAAATTTATGTGTTTGCTGTTCTGTAATGGTAAGCAATGATCGCACTTAACCTGATTTACATTATGTAGGGGCGGCTCCTGCGTCTGGTGTACTGATACAGATGGAAGGAGGTATTGACACCACACGGGCAGTCAGGAACGCACTGAAACGAAGAATTCCCGTGGTGCTGTGCGAAGGTACCGGGAGAGCAGCGGACTATCTATCTTATGCATGCAGACACTGCGAAAATATAGAGTAAGTTTCCATAGTAACAAAAGTATGTTCTTCCATAGAAGTACCAGAAACCGATACTAGGTATGCTTTAAATGTCTCCCGTGTATTAAAGAAATTATATATATATATATATATATATATATATATATATATATATATATATATATATATATATATATATATATATATATATATATATATATATATTAATATAATTATTAATTTTTAGCCAGGTGACTAAAGACAAATATAGCGGTGGTTACTTT